GATGAACAATATATTGATAGTTCAGAACTGAATAGTGATGATAGTAGGGATGAATTAGATTTTGAAGCTGTGAAAGGTGTTGATTTACTAGTTAGAAGAAAAAGTAAAAAGGTTAGATTTGATCCTGATTGTGTAGTTATATTTGAGCTTGGTATGGTATTTGAAAATGCTATAGAATTTAGAAAGGTTGTAGCAGAGTATGCTGAGGAATATAAAGTCAAATTAAAATTGAGGCCTAATGAAAAACATAGAGTCAGAGTTAAATGTCAACATAAGAAATGCAAATGGTTGTTGTATGCTAGTCTAGACAAAGACGCTGGTGACTTTATTGTTAAGAACTACTATCATGTTCATCAGTGCCCTACACAACCAAGAACAAGTTGTGTACATCTAACTTTATTGCAAATAAGTTTAGGGGCAGAATTGTTTCTCAACCTCATATAAAGTTGTGGGAAATTCAAGAGTTGGTAAGGAAGGAGACAGGTTGTATGTTGGAAGAACTTTTTGTTATGGGACAAAATTGATGACTCTTAAGGAGTTTATGGGTGATTGGAAGATGGAGTTTGCAAGGTTGTGTGATTATGCAGACATGATAAAATAAACTAATCCTGGTAGTTCATGTTGGGTGAGGACAGACAGAGAATCTACTCTAGGAAAAATTTTGTTTGTTTACTTTTATATTTGTTTTGATGCATTAAAGAGAGGTTGGTTGGAAGAATGCAGAAAAATCATTGGGTTTGATGGATGTTTTCTGAAGGGTGCTTGCAAGGGTGAACTATTGGTTGCAGTTGGTAGGAATGGAAATCAACAAATGTTTCCAATTGCTTGGGCACAAAGCACAGTTGGAGTTTCTTCATCAATTCCTTGATACAAGATCTAAATTTAGGCATTAGACGTGGATTGACTGTCATGTCTAATATGCAAAGGTTAGTTTAATGTTAATTTTATTTATTTTGATCTCATCGCCTATTTATTTAATTATTACTACTCATAAATTTCAATTATTATGATATGTAAGGTCTTGTAGCAGCCATAATGGAGTTGCTTCCAGATTGTGAGCAGAGGATGTGTGCTAGACACACTTGGTCCAATTGGCAGAAGACCTGGAGAGGAGAAGAAATAAGAAAACAATTCTGGAGATGTGTGAAATCAAGTTTTGAGGTAAAATTTCAAGATGAAATGGACAAACTCGCTAAACTTGGTAATAAGAACATCTGTGGGGACTTGTTACATTATGAAAGAAAGAAATGATGTAAAGCATCTTTTAAGGAGCATGCTAAATCTGATGTTGTTGAGAATAATATGTGTGAGACATTTAACTCTTCGATATTAGTTGATAGGCATAAATCAATTATCACCATGTTAAAGGAGATTAGACATAAGATAATGGATAGAAATGTGGAGATGAAAAAATTTATCGACACTTAGATATCAGAAATTTATCTCATGGCTAGTTTAGTACTTGAAGAAAACAAAGATTATGCTAGAGATTGTCAAGTTAGGTTCAATGGCCAATTTGGATATGAAATTTTAGAGGGTCATTATAGGTATATTGTTGATATAAAAAAAGGACATGTACTTGTAGAACCTGATAGTTGAGAGGCATACCATGTCAACATGTTGTTTTGGCATATCAGCATGCAGGCCAAGACCCTGAAGATCATGTTGTACATTGGTACAAAAAAGATACTTTAATGAAGACTTATAATTACTTTATCCAGCCAATACCTAACATGAAAATGTGGTCTCACATTAGTGATATAGTGATTGAGCCTCCTGAACCAAAACAAATGCCTGACAGACCACCAAAATCCATATGAAAGTCAAGGGATGAGCCAAGAAAGAAGTATGAAGAGTTATCTAGAAGAGGTGTAAAAATGACTTGCTCCAAGTGTCATCAATAAGGCCACAATAATTAAGCCTGCAAATATGTGGTAATACTCAAGCCAACCTTTGATTACTTCAATTAAATAAATAAAAATGCATGACAATTTTTCTTCATCTTATTTACACTCTTAAATCATCTGAATTGGGTCAGCTTAAAAGCTCAACCCAACCTGGACCTTGAAGGTCAAGCCAGCCTGCTAGCTCAAATCAGCCTCAAAGCTCAAGGCAACCTACAAGTTCAAGTCAGAGTCAAACCTCAAGGAAACCTGTAGGTTCTAGCCAACCACCAATCTAGAGACCATCACAACACGTCAGCTTAGGCCAACAATTAACTTTTATTTGTGATAATACTTCAACTGTTGAAAGAGTTCAACAAGCTGGAAGATGCAGGGGAAAAGGTAGGGTGAGAGGAGGTGATGATACTTCAACTGTTACAAAAGGGCAACAAGCAGGAAGAGGTATGGGAAGAGAAGGAAAATCAACATCAACAAGAAGAAACAAAAGGCCTAAGACTGTGGGATTCGGCATCTACATTGATGATACAAGTTGCAGACAAACATTAAATGTAAGAGTGTATAACCAATTTAAATATTTATAATCTACTTACTTTGATAATAGGCACTTAATTTTAGTTTCTTGTATACAACATGTAAAAGAGTTGTTACTCCAGTTGTTTTCAAGTGTACAGCACCAACAAACATTGATATTGATTATAAGCCTCGTGGACTAAAATGGAAGGGTAAAGATATTGTCACCACTTCACAATTACAACGCAAGTCCAAAAGGGGTGAATCTGCAAATGTCTAGTGCAACGAAAACAAAAACATGGATGTGACCACTTTAATGTGTCTTGGGTGTTTTTGATGTACTCTTGGGGGTTGTTTTATTTTGAATCTGTAATGCAAGCAGGAAACAATACTGAGACTGCTTAATATGTTTTTGATGTAAATTATAACTAATGATTTAACTGTGGATTTTCTTGCAAGAAAATGCAAAGAATTTTTTTTTATATCATTCATGCTTGTTTGGAGCTTATTGTTGTGTTGTTCACTTAATATGTTTATTGTCGTTTGGAGGTGAATAAGAGGAATAGAAATAAGACAATACAATAGAGGTGAATAAATAAGAAAAATATGATAGACTAATGAACGACTTAGCTACATTCGTTAGTCTAACATCAGTACAACAGAAACACAAGACTACTGATACAATCACTCGAAGCCTACTAACACAAATATTGTCATATAGCAAAAGTCACTATTGCAATAACACATATGATCCTGATTTTCGTTACCCGCTTCCTCTGTGTTTCATATGATTTGATTATTTTCAATAGGCCCCATATGATCTTTTTTGCTTGAGGCGGTAGATCATCATCGCACCATCAAAAAAATTCATCTCTTCTCTACACAATTATTAAAATAATTAAACTATAATTAGCAGATTGACAGCGATTTGTTTAACCAGATTTGAATAATAACAAAAAAATCTTACCTTTGTGTATTTGCAACAAAAAAATCGAAGTCATGTATTAAGTTGTGTCCATGAGGTTTTCAATTCAGCATTGACCCCACATCGATAAAATACATTTGCCACAAAAGAAGTTGAAATCGGCAAATTGGACACTTCATTCGCTATAAAGAAGATGAATGAAGAAATTTTTTGTTGATCTCCAGAAGCAACAATAGTGAGATAGATACGGAGAAGAAAGAGATTAGAAATAAAAAAAATTAGGGTGGATAAATAAAAGGGGGGAAATTGTAACGTTACATATGTCAAATCAGACACAACAGCTTATTTTTTCTCACTTCACGCGCTCAAAAGGCGTGCTTCAAATGACAGGTGACAAGTCAGTCACGTGTGTTTGATAAATACACTTTTTAAGTGGTTTAAGTATTCAATAGGAAAGGGCTCTTGTTAAGGCGTCTAAACGGAAAAAACGTCCAAGTTCAAGGGGCCGCTTATATGTTCTGACTTATTTATTTTAGGGATAATGATCAAATATGTCATTGAATTTTCAGAAAATGCTCATTTATGTATAATATACAATTATTTAATCTAGATACATATACAATTCACCTCTCTCTCCTCTTTCTCCCAATCTCGCTCGCCCTATATACAAATGTATATGTATAATATATAATTATATACATATATAATCCACCTCTCTCCCGCTCTCTGCCCAATCTCGTTCTCCTCTCTCCTCCCTCTCCCAATCTCTCTTGCCATATATACAAATACATATGTATTATATACAATTATCTAACCAATATATATATACAATTCACCTTTCTTCAATTCTTTTCCGCTTCTCTCCTCTCTCTTCCAATCTCGCTAGCCTCTTTCTTCCATATAACATGTAGCTACAAATTGTAATTATAAAACTATAGCTATGGAGAATAATTAATTATTTTTAAGTGGCTATATGTGAAAATTTCCCAAAAATATAACCCATATAACTTCATAAATTTTAGTTAAAATAAAAATATTTGAAATCTATGATTGTTACTTAATTTGTTTAGCACTTTAAGATTTGAATATAAACTTGATTATTAATTATTTTGCAGCTAAAATAAATCGTCGGACTCACCTTTCCAAGTAGAAAGGAAGTTTAAGGAAAAAAGAATTGTGTCCATTAATTATGTCACTCCTTCTATCCATCTTTATATGTGTACGTTTGATTTGATATATTTTTTAAAAACTAAAAGAAATAAATATAATACTTAATAGCAAACAAAATAGACATAAGATAACGAATTACCTTTTCTTTTTTCAAACTAAACAAATAAAAATAGGCTAAAGAATTGTAGATTTTATTTTTTTTTTAAAAGAAAAGAAAATTAGTTTAGTGCAGCGTTATTCCCAATATATGCAAACATTCATGTCTTCCGTTTTTGTTACGCAATTGCTTGGAATGTTGATCAAATTGACATTGAAATCAGGTGGCCATTGGAAACATCGATCCACTTCAGCAGAAACCACACACAATTTGGAAATAAGCATGTTCGCTCTTATTGAACAATCAACTATCTATATCCTTTGATAATAGAGACTCATGAAGAACTTTTTAAATACAAGTGTACTGTAAAAAAGAAAAAAATTAAGCCAAATACTGCTGAAATCCAACCATCAAATATAAAGCGAAACACTAAGCGCAGGATACATCTCTTCCATTATCTGCTAATGAAAGAAATCTCTTGATACAGGGAAAATGTTTACAAGGATACCACGTAAATGCTTTTAACTCAAATTGAAGGAATGTGTGGTTCAAAAGTCAAAACTCAGCTAACCCCTATTTTTCTGCAAATCACATCTATATTACAAAAGAAACATCCCAAGGGAAAAAAGAATGTGCCGTGAAACTTATATAAGGCATAAATGCTAAACCTTAAATCGAGAGTAGCATTTGTCACAGAGATGCTGCTGTACAAGACCTCTATCCAAATCAATATGAAAACTCATGACCTCGGAGTGAAATGTGCTTCTTTACCCAGATGGCAATATCCTCAGCACAAGCCTGAGCCTGAGGGGTCTTGAGAAGCATGTCAAGAGTTGCAAACTCGTGAACAGCATCCTTATATTCAAGAACAGGAGCATCAACATTTACTTTCCGGAGTTCCTCTGAATAAGCAATAGCCCGATCTTTCATCCAGTCATGCTCTGCTATAATTGTCAATGTTGGGGGCATTCGTTTTAACGGAGGTCCTCCTCTACCAGCAACAAGTGGGTTGGCAGCAGGGTGATCCAAGTTAAACTCTCCTTCAGGTAAAAGTAATTTCCAGGCAAGTACGCACATTGCCTTGTCATAGAAATAGGAATTAGCTAGCTTTATCTCAGAATGAGTTGGAACATTGCCAATGAAAAATGGATACATCAAGACCTGTGCCACCACCTTGACTGGGTCCAAAAGATTGCCTGCTTCTACTGCCTTTCGGGCCACATAATCAGCTATGTTTCCCCCACAACTCACTCCAAGGAGAACACACCTATAAAAATAACCCAATTTGCTTGTGTGTTTAAGAACAAAATGATACGCATACTATACGGAAAATTTTGTAGAGAAGCATGCCAAGTTGGGGATATCATCTCATTATCGTAACAGGATTGCAGAACTTTTGAAACAAAAAATTTGTGGTCTATTCATCCTTACGTTTCATTTTATGGGGTTGGTTAGCTCACACGTAAGATTCATGGAGGAAACTCATCTTGCAGGAAAGCTGGACTGAAGCTCTTTATTTTCAAATGTAAGTGAAGAAGTTAATTTGAAAGTGTTTTATTCAATTGCCCTGCATGGGTTGTTAAAGGGCTTTCAAAGCAGCTTATAAAGGTCTTGAACTACTCCACCCATTGACTTGGGGTTCTGAATTGGATACTCAAATTCTTTTTACATGATAATAGAGCCAAATATTTGGTGAAGGACATTCCTCTGATTAGTACTCCCTTCGTTTCAAATTTTTTGTCCTATTTTGTCTTGACACGGAGTTTAAAAAAGTAAAGAAGGCTTTTGAAATCTTCTGGTCTTATATTAAAGATATGTCAAATGTACCACAATGTCCTTTAATAACGTGGTCTTAAACATGACATGGGGGGAGATTGAAACTGAAGAGTTGCTAAAAAAGTCATTCTTTTTTAAATAGACTAAAAAGGAAAGTAGGACAAACAAATTGAAACGAACAAATATAGTTACATGAGAGAGGAGGTGCTTAGTTGTATAATTGTCCCACATGGATTGTGCAAGGGTTCTGGATGAGAAACAAACTGATAAAAATCCAAAAAGTATTCAAAACAAGTACTGAAAGACAACCAAGACCTACATCAAAAACACTTACAGTTTCACCCAAAAAGGAAAAAGAAGAAAAGGAACACTTCTATTCAGAAATTGAATTTGCCAGTCATACCAAACAAAATCAGTGGATTACAGGAAAATTAGCATACAGAAAACCACTAGTGAAACGTTTTCCCTTCCAAAAATGGATATAGTAGCTATTTAACATTATAACTCCTAATATTGCTCAAAAGACTACATGAACATGACCCATTTACAAGACAAAATGCACTTACTTCTATATGGAATTCAACTCGTAACCACATGATACTATACGAAAAAAGCTAGAAAATTGGCAGGTAAAGATTCCACTAGTCATGAGTCCCAAAAGTAAGCATTTACGTCTCAAATATTGCTTGGCCCTTCCTACTCACTGTACCTACTTTATATGGATAGTTTTGCAATGTCTAACCTTATAATATGGAATTCAAAATTAAAGAATGATATATTACCTTTTCATTCTTCATAGCATACATGTGACCACATTTCTGATCAAATCACAAACAAAATTACTCATTGAAAACAGACTAAAAGATCACATCTAATGCTTCCACGTCAAAAACTAAAACCAAGGGAACAAGTATGGAATAAGATAATAGGGCCAAACTAACCTCGACGGATCTCCATGGGCAGCCAACCAAGGCTCTGCCATTGATGCTCCAAAGGCATCCGCTATGTGTCCGTGGGAATCAGATTTTTTCACATCTGCTCCACCACGTCTGTTGCCCAATGACTTGCTGCATTCAGCCAAATTGGCCTGCTTCGCCAGCCAATGCAGAGCTTTCAACCCATCCTCAAATGCAGCTGGGTATCTATTCTCAGGTGATAACCTGTATCCAACTGCCAAAACAATGACATCACAAAGCTTTGCAATTCTTCTACAGAAAAAATCATTTGAAACCGAATCATTGCTCCCACTCACAAACCCCCCACCATGGAATTGTAACATCACCGGCAACTTCCTGCAATTTTTACCGGCGGGAGCATATCCTCTATAAACCCCATTTTCAGATTTCAAAGCGAGATCATCCACATTGCCTCCGTAGCTATTTCTCCTATGATTAAAACTATTTCTATTGCGATTTTCGGTGACATTATCAGTCGTAGCAGCACCATAGCTGCTTCTGCGTAGATCGGATCCTGTGAGAGAATCGGGTCTGGAAGCTTTAGCCCTAGATTTAGATTGTGCCCTTAAATCGGAATCAGGAGAGCCAAGGGAGGTCTCTGGAAGGAATATTCTGATAGAAACAGAGGTGGTAGGATCTATATGTATATCCTTGGTGGCAACGCCGTCGGTGAAAAGAGGATTGGAAGCTGCAGTAGATTCCTCATCAGGACGTGACGTAACGCCGAAAGAAGTTCCGGCATTTGCGTCATCAACGGGGATTTGGGTTCGGTTCTGCAACCGATGCTTTAACATAAACTTGAAGAAAACACTGTATAATTTCACGGCCACGCTTGGCATTTCCCTCAACTCCCTCCTCCTCCCTCTAGCTCCACCGCTCTGGCTATCACTCTCCCCGACCCCCTGTAAAAGATGACGTCTCCTTCCCCCAACCCCAGAGACCCTCTTGTTCAGGAGATTAATAATCTAACAATTCGTTGAGTAAATTGATCTGAACATTAGCGATATGAATCGAATTAATTTTAGTTTTAGGGTTTTTGAGGATATGATGGATTGAGATTTGAGGAAAAGGGAGGACGGAGATGGTTTGGTAGTAGGAGTAGGAGTAGCAGTAAAATTATATAGCGAATCAAAAATTTCTGAAGGATTTAGGTAAGTGAAGTGGGGAAACAGCATTTCTAGAAAATTAATTGTGGCGTCTGCCTATTAATTTTGTCTAGTACTAATTAATGGGAAAATCGGATAAAATTATTTCGAATCTAATACCAACTCAGTCTTTATTTACAGTCTTACTATAAAAGTTCACTTTCTATCCTAAATTTTTAATGTAGATTTTTACATGCTATTTTTTGATTATTCAAGTAAAAGTCTTAGCGAGTTAGTGTTGCGTGCATGTCGTTTGTTACGATGGACTGAATGGAATTATTTAAATTCTTTTTAGCAAAAAATAAATAATTTATTTATAAATGATTAACTTTTCAAGTTCTAGTTAGTGTTGACGATGGACCGACAGAATTATTTAAATCTTTTTTAGCAAAAAATTAAATTATTTATATTTAAATGATTTGAATAGTAATTTTTTTGCATTGAACTTGATTACTTTTTTCATATCTTAAAACCCGTTGTTTGAAAAAATATGATGATAGTACAACCAACTGAAAAAGCATGTCCATCATCAGCATAGAGGAATTTGAAAGTTAAAAGGGATCCTTCAGCGCAGGCATCAGCTATCATTGATCATACGCAGTCACATGGAAAGGAAAGTTGTAAAATACTACTCATTGCAAGCAGTGTGTGAATTCCAAAGAATTACTCTACTTGAAACATTGCAACTTAATTATGTCAACTTCATTTGAACATTCTCAAGATTATCTACAGGGATACTTTCATGCCAAGCTGCAATGTCAAAGCATATATATTGACGGTGTACAGAGATTCAAGCGCAGCACCCTAAAAGGAACTTTAGACGTATACCTCAAGTATGACGCTTTTATAATCTCATCGTTAGAAACTCCAACAAAGCAAACACCAAATGAACTCGAGCCACGCATGGACAGCAGACTATAAAATCTTGAGCTTCTCCAGTTACGCAATTCCGTAGGAACAGTCCTTGCCTCTATATTAGCACTGACTTGGTATCCAACTTGATTTGTGTTACCATAAAGTGAGACCTGGGAACAAAAAATTCAGGATGTCTTGGTGTATGAACAAATGAGATATTACCTCCTTTCTCAATTAGCGTACTGATCAGCTGATCAAGGGAAAAGCAACAGTAACAAAGATACAGTCTCTAGCCAGATGGTGGATGAGGTGTTATCTTATGAGAAACTAGCACTGGCTCATTGCTTGCAGCTTTCACTCCAGCAAGCTCCTCTAACCGTTTCCAAGTAATTTCACGTTTCCTCTTTACCTCCTCTTCTTGGGCCTCGTCTTCTTCGAATTTCTGCAAACACTCTTCAAAGAGTTCAGAATCGATATCAGAGAAGATCTTGCGGACATTTAATGTCAAGTTTTGCACCGCCTGATTCCAGTGGCCTCTAGCATTCTTCTCCAAGGAAGGGAAGATTATCGGCAGTATAACTCTATGATTTTGTTTGATTAGGTTCTCAACATGATCATTGTTCCATAGGAACAAGGCCCTCTCAGCCACCTGAAGATGCAAAGTTAAAAAAAGTTAGAGAAAAGACAAAATAAAAAAAGGCATTGGCAGATGTTACATCACCGAATTGATCCAATCCATCTCATTTCAAGCAAGCACACCATTTTTTCAGTTGATTGATCGTTTTTCTATTTGATTCACAGCCATGACAACTTAGCCAATATGTGCCATCACTTGATGTACAGTTACTTATATCAAGTTGTTTCATGAGGTACAACTGAAAACAGCAAACTAGCACATTATATCCGGCAGGAGGAAAAGCCATCAAGATGCAGTAAATTTAGTCTGCTTGTTGACCCACACAAACAGAAGTGAACTTCTGAAAAGCAACTATCTCTCTCTGGCAAACCAGATTTTTCCCTTTTCATTTTAGGATGTTTGGAAAGAGGGAGTTGCAAACACATGAAGGAAAATACAGTTCAATAGAAAAAAGAGTGTCTTATTCATTCCTAACTAGGCTGATAAGGAGCAGCATATTTCTCCTGCTCAAGACCTTAAGGGATTTTGAAGAACCTTAATTCTCCTTTTACATTCTCCATTGATTTTGTTTGAGCAAATTCAACTGGAACCACTGTTGGATTTTTTATAAGATGGCCAGCAAAAAAGTGTTGTAAATGTCTTAACCATAGAAGGGCTTTAATTAGCCAACTTGAAAACATAATCAGCATAACAAAATTCAAAAAGGTCAAGTAATCTCAACAACTAAAACCGCCTAATAGAAATTCAAATTTCAATTTCATTCTAAATCTAGGCAACTTATTGTGCTAAAATTTACTGCAATAATTGAAAGCAAATTTCAACAGTAAGACTCCTCACAACAAAGCAAGTTGCTTCAAAAACCAGAATTATGGCAATTTTTGACATCAATCTCAAACCTCAACAAGCATCATTCAAAGTACAAACTTGATGCAAAATAATTTGCACTAGATTAAATGAAGGGAAAATCATCTTCAACTTGATATTTCTCATTGATCTTTTGGCAGTGAGCTGCTCTCAACACAACTTGAAAATATCCACACCTGTTTGTTAGTTTGATCTATACCAATGAATGGAGTAAATCAGTTAGAGATCAAAGGATGATATACTCGGCCACTCTAAATGAAAAATATGTCCGCTGAAAATACACATCTCGATGTGTATCTAACTGATGCCAGGAATAACCAATGGTAGGAACATCCAAAAATGGGTAATAATGATTTTTCTTTGACCCTAAAATGGGAAGGAAGAAACTGCCAATTACATAGAGGTTCAATGATTTGAAGATAACAATATCATAGCTTTTGATTCAAGGGGACATTGATCAACAACACTCTGTCAAGCATCCATTCTTGCATGCATGTGCCGGCTAGTGTCACCAAAAGGTTGAAAAGGCTAATGTTATACAGACAATGGAATAAAATTTCATATAATGAACTTGGGAGGTGGTCACATCTCCAATAAGGTGGCCTTGGAGGTTAGACAGTAAGGTACAGGCTTTGTAGGAGAGTGATTGCATTCAAGAGTGGCACACATAAAGGGCCCATGAATATGGAACAACATAAAGGGAGAGAAGAGTTTAGCGACAACATCATTTTTACTGTTGGGAACGAAAATAGGATCAGCTTTTAGAGGCGCAAGTAGTATGCAATGATACTTTGAGCGTTGCCTTTCAGATCATGTACAACACATTGAGTTTGAAGGATATGACGATTCATCATGTCTACAGGACACAAGAGCAGAGTTTATTAGCATAAGAGGCTCAGAATAACTCTACAAGATGTGGAGATAGGATATTCCAAAACATAATGGCATACTACAAAAGCAAAAACATGAAATGGGTAGGAACATGCCACGTGGAAATGGAAGTGAAGAGGGAATGAAGTGTTCTGTAAGAAGTCCTACTATTGCAGGTTATTTGAAAAGAGACGATGCAGGGGGTTTACATCTGTCATTTTAGAGTCTCAGCGCGTCAGAAAGGATACTCAGTTCACTTGGTTCGAAGTAAGGTAATGGCTGAAAAAACCGAGAAAAGGGAAGTTGTGTTATGTAAACTGGTACTTTGTGCACATGGTCAAGCAAGGATGTAGATCACTCACTAGTGCACTGCCATGCGCATCAGCTTGATTAACGCTGACTATAGTTAATGGCGAATTGCACAATGGACTTCAGAAGAAAGAGAAGAAGATGTGGAGCATGGGATGCAGCTACTTTGGACCCTGCAATAATACTTTGGAGACAGAAGAATGGAACATTTGAAGGTATTTAAAATGAATTTGTGAAGTTAAGAACTTGGCTTTTGTTCTTGGTGAATTTTGGGTGCACTTATCGCATCCCTGTAAGTGTAGATGATTGGATGCATTCTTAAAGAACCACGTTTTTTGATGGGGCCCCTACTCTTTTGTATGCCACTTTATATATCCAAGTTTTCCAGCTAACATCAATTAACTTATTACTTTGTCTCAAAGGAACAAAAATGAAAGAAACAGCAAATTGGCTTTACACCATATTCCTGTTTCGACCTAAGCCTGATCATAGATGATTAGCAACACAAAGAGCAAAGGAAATAAAATAAAATTCCAAATAACTAGAACTACCCACCTGAAAGTGCGAGCTGCTCAAACAACGACTGATCTGATGAAACAAAGGCACCATACAACGCTGGAATTCTGGAGGCTGAGTTGCTTCTAGAACCTCCTCCAGCTCACCTAAGAACACTACTTCCTTGGAACTGTTTGTGATAGGCCAATATTTCAACAAACCTCTTATGACAGTATCAGCAAGCTTGCAATCCTTCTCCACAAATTGTGTTATGCAGTAAGATAACTGCTGATGATACATGTGTACGCACTTTGGTTTATGAAGTGGAATAAGAGCTCGGACAAGGAACAACTTGTGCTCTTCCTTCAGTGGAAGTGCAAATCCATTGATTATACTGCCCAAAATTTCTAAAAGTTCTGCTATTCCATTATGCTTCTCAGTTTCAAAGATAAACCGGTAAAATATATTGTTGATTGATTTCCTAATAAAAGGGCGGTGCACCATGAATTTTCCATATATTCGGTGCAGAACCGTCTTCAAGAACTCCCTTTCTCTTGGATCTTCTGAATCAAAGAGATCTAATAACCTTAGAACAAAAGAATGGTCAACATATCGCTTAGACAATTTTGCATCTGTCTCCGGTGATGCCACAAATCTGAGAAAGAACTCATACACAATTTGCAAATGTGGCCATGCGGGATCCATCAAGGGTTCGTCATCTTCCAAGTCAAAAGCTTCCAATACTTTGTTTTCACGAGGTTGAGGAGTTAGAGACCTGAACAGATTTGAAGACACCATTTTAACAATTTCTTGAATGACAGTTTCTGTGAATTTTCCATTTGCAGAACTAAGATAATCAACAAGCTCTATTAATGTCTGCCGCTTGATGTCTTTTTCTTTCAAGTGCTTTGTTGGGTCAGTAAAGTCAAATAATACACAGCACAAGTTCAGTTTTTTTATGAACAAGTTTTGTTTCTCAGCAGTTGGTACATCTTTAAAACTAGGCAAGGTCTCACACAGAAAAACTGCTGCACTTCCATTCACCTTAGCATTTGCCCCCTGCGGTAGCCTATTTCCATGATTTGGTCCCAGAGTTGAAGAAGTGACTCCTGAAACAGTAGTGGCACTTGAATTTCCTGACTGCGCAGTAGACAAATCACTGCTTCTAGAACCAGTTGAAGCATTGGACGGTGATGCAGAGCTTCCTCCATCGCGATTTTCTGCTGACTTGGAAGGCTTTCTAGGGAGCCTATTAAGTATCTGTTTGATCATCACTTGAAAATATGATCTTCTGGTCGTAATGTTTTACTGATTTAAACACCCTCAAAACAGAACTTTCATCAATCTGAAAGGTCTAAGCAGCAAAATGAATTGTTAGCAAGCCAGTGCAGATCTCATCCACCCCGAATCCTTATCTGCCACCCCCTAAACCAATAAACAAATGAGACCACAGACTACCTGTCTAGACCAGTAAAACTCTTTTTCATCTGAAAAACAATAACAAAAAGGCAAGTAAAATGAAGAAATCTAGAAAAGTTCAAACTTCTTTTTCATCATGGAGAAAAGAGCTAAAAAGATCAACATTTGTGACCTAATCCCTTTTCTTTCTTTCACTTGGTAAAGTAAGTAATTTGTATTATAAACAACTCCACACTAAGAGAGTTCTCTGTGCACTTCCACTTAGCAATTAAAAAAAGGTGCATTCTTGGTGAATTAAACAGTGCAAAAGGCGAAACCCTGATGCAGAAAGTTATTTTAATAATCAAACAAGCATCAAATAATCTGAATCAGAAACTGAAAAATCTTACCTATCCATGCTAGCTGTCAACCAGAAAAAAGAACCGGGGAGGTGCAGTAAACCTTTGTTCTTGTTTTTTTGCTGAGGTCCACAGAGACTCTGGCCTGTTAAGCTAGGTCAAAGAATATTAAGATCTGGGCAAATGATGTACGGAAGAACCCAGATAACATCCCTTCAAAGAATCACAAAAGAAGTGAGTCAATAAAGATTAAAAAGAAACAGCACTCAGACATAAAATGAGTTGTTAATGCTTACATAATTTTGAGTGATGAAAAAGATTGAAACTTTAGATAGTTGGGGTTCAGTGATCGAAATCTAAAAACATTCCCAACTGAGGAAAGATAGGAAAATGGGTGTGATGGATTAGACAAAAATAGACAAAAACCAATCTCTGGTTGTTGTTTTTGATGTGTTTGGTTAGCTACAATTATTCTTCTTTTTTTTTTTTGTTTTGATTTTTGCTTCCCATTTTCTCTCTAATTTTTCCTTTGTCTTCTTTCTTCTTAGATTTATAATCATAATAATAATTATCTTATTTTCTCTCTTCATAGATTATAATAATTAGAGCATATGATTATAATAAAGGTAGAGCAAGACGAAAATCATATCTAAATTTTTTGATTTCATATCGAAATCAAAACTAATTAATTATTAAAATACTAATTATTTATATTTTTGAATATTAGGCGAGAAAATGAGAAACTTTCATCAACAAAATAAGAGTTCAAATAGTTAATCAATCTAAATTATTAAAAATTCACTATCAATTATTCATTCTTTTCTATAGGAGAAATATATTATAATTTAATTATAAAACTAAAACAATTAAAATGATTTAGATATATTTTTAGTATAAAATACAATTACGACAGACCTATGTTTAATCAAACAAAAGATTTATAAAGCTTAATATAATGAATAACAAAAATAATTACATCAAGGTAGAAAAAAGATTGCAACATAGCAAAAGTTCTAAATTGATTCTTGAGAACTTGGGATTGGAAAGAGGAGTATTTTATTGTCATATTCTTTTTTTCTAGTCACAGATTTCAACCACAAAATCACTTGCCGTAATTATTCTCACCTTTGGGTTTCTCCAGATTTGAACATTTTTTGTATTTTGACAAATCTCGCCTTCTCAGACTTTGAAAAGGTACCACTATAAAAGTAAGTCATCAGGGTTAAATATGAGATATTGAAGCACAAGAAGGAAGTGGATGGATTGCATCTTTGTGTTAATTATGAAAGAAAAAAAAAAGAGAAACGTGTCTATTCATTAGCTTAAAAGTCTGGTAATATCATCAAAATTTTAATTATAATAACCCTTAAATTTCAATTATAATAACCCTTGAATTTTGTTGAGTCGGTTATCAAGATCTGTATGTGCTACCGAACTTATAAAATATCAATTAATTTGATTATCTTTATTGATCGAGTTATCAATTAATTAATTTATACGGTATAAAAATTGAAACCAAAAAAAAAATGTTCTAGCTTTTATGTACCATAAAATTCTAAATCAATACCTAAACCATTAATTTGATAACCCAAATCAATGATATACAGTCATAACAGCATCCAACTGTTACTTTATTCAGGCTTGAACATTTCCTCCATGGGTTTCAACTTGCAATTATATCAGTATTATGTTTCTTGCTTTCAATCATTTAGTAAAGTGGAGACACTCCTATTTCTTCCTATAATGTCATCATATCAGTGTGACTTTGTGGTTATATAATATGTAAAACTGTAAGAAATGAAAGTGGAACCTATCACAAGGAATTAAGCAATTCATTGAAGATAATGAGCAGATAGAGAAAGGGATCTACACATGGAAAGTCGGTGGAAGTTACTGTCATTCGCCTATTATCCACAAAATTACTGACCGACTATACGGGCCCCAACCTATCAAAATCGACATGTCAGTATCCAAAATATATCTCCATAATATAAAACATATCAATCTTTATGGAAAAACATATTTAACTTTATATAAACATAAAATTATGAGATATTCTTTTCGTAAGGTAAAATAAGCACAACGGGAATTGAATAGATATATACCATATTATAGAACAAACGAACAGATAAATTACTTCTTCGACCGTATCCATTGAATTGTTACAGAAGAAAGGACAGCACAGTATATAACACATTCGGTGATCACACGGGACTTGGGGATCCAAGGGAATATAATGTGTGCGACCTATCCTGATGCAACCATCAATGGGCTCGAACCAGCATGGAACCAACTATACCGTTACTCTGAGGCTCCCCTTAGATTGAATTGTTACAGAGTAAACAAAAAAAAATCAATGGGGAGCAAGATAAAATTTCTTTACCCAGCAGTATACAGCGCACAACTGTCTGAAGCAGTCCTGCCGGTCTCCTGCAGAAGAACAAGCTCACATTGACAGGACCAGGGTAAGCACATCAAAATCTTGGCTCGGCCATGGTCACACTTACCGAGCAATGTGCGATCAGCTCTCTCTGCTCTTCCCAGTCAAATGAAATGCAAAAGATAAAGGCTGAGACACTTGGAAGCATGAAAAATACAAGAAATCACACAATCAAACGGAAGTTAATATGAGGAGGGTATTCCAACAACAGAAAGGCTGGCAGTACAAGCTTCCATGCAATCTCTTCAAAGCCGAGCAGCAACATAACCCAATGTTTTATCTCAATGCTCCATCAAAGCAGTTTCAGTTTCTGACAATGGTGCTGCAACAGTATGACTTCTATTAGAACACATTAAATTATCGATAGCCTGGTAGAGCAATAAATAAGGCATTGCAAAAGATATCATAAGCAAATGCTGATGGGTCCTACAAAGGGCTTTTACTGACAGGTACAAAAACAAACCGTTCCGTTTCAATAGTAAGTATCAATGAGGAACCGGAAGCTTGTCAAAAATGCATGTGGTATTGCTAATGATTTTTTTCTACTTAGACAAACAAGTTGCCTTTGTGGATCAAGAGCAAAGAACAGAGCATGGCTTTCCAAGAAAACCAAGGTTTAAAACTTCCACACAAATAAGAAGAACAGCCTAAATAAATATGCCCTGCGAAGAGAGCAATAAAATGCGACTCATTCTCGACAAAGCTCTCTCTCAAAGGAAAGAGACCAAAGAGGGTTATTTATCAAGAAAGAATTTAACAAGGAACATGTTTAGACACCACGCAATGTCCAGATTAGGAAATTATTTCAAAACATCATCACTCCATGTTATCAGTTATGGCATGGAACCACCATTAAAGGACTCGGGGATTAGGGATATAGCCTGAAGGTTTAAGCATCAGAGAATAGCATTGGGAACTGTAGAAAAATGGATTCAAAACTAAAAGAAAATTGTCAAATAGATCTACCAGGTAAAAGGTTGGAACAAACATACCAAGTAAATCCTCATATGAATCTGCCAACAATGATGCATCCATAAGCAGAGGAGGAGAAAATACTTGATCCTTAGCTTCCTCCAAATCATAAAATGACCTATGTGCATCCGAAAATGAAGAGTTTGAACCCATAGTTGAAAGAAAACCATCATAGTCATCCACAGACTGCAGATCATGTAATAAGTCAGGTATTCCATCAGACTTGATGTTCATATGACTATCCGGTGCACCAGTCCCTAAAAATGAAGAATCTGGTTCTGACACAAACAATTTTTTTCTTCTCAGCAAGTTTGCCCTATCTCCATGCTGAGAAAACCCTAACCCTGAGACAGGCTCAAAGTAGTGCTCAGAACTATCATCAGAACGACTATCTTGAGATGATCCCTGATAGTAAGATTCGGAGCGAAGTGCAGCTTCTCTGACAGATCTCTTCAGATTTTGAACAAAGCTTGTGTCATTATCTGCAAAAATTCATAATAAGTTTATGCATATAGCAGTTAAGAAATCAATGTATGCATTCAGAAGGCAGGATAAAAACCTTGTGGCGAATTATCGAAGGAATTATTTAGAAATTGCTGATCCAGAGACTTCCTCTCAGGCATAATTTCAATTTGGCTGGTTTGGGAAGAGATCTGTTGCTTCTGTGCACCACCTTTTCCTAAAGAATTCGGCGTCACACTAAACAAAGGTGGGAGCTTCAAAGTAGTGGGACTAGCTGATGTCTTTTCAAATTGCATGGATGACAATCTTGAGCTCATCTCAGCTACCTCATCATCCCTGTGTTCCTGTAGTAAATATTGTAGTTTAGGTTTTTCTATTGTTTCAAAAAGGTAAAAGGAAGTCTTACAAAATGCTTCACAAAACAGTACCAATGTTCTCCCACTGCTCTGTGCTTGGGAATGTGATCTGCCCTGAAAATTGGCTGTTCTAGAAGAATTGGACGAAATACTACTAACTTCTTCTGTAAGTTCTAAAATTGAATTCTGTATGGATGGAGCGACTTCCTTCAGTTGATTTATGAGCACCTAGAGATCAATGAATTCACATCACAAACTTTCAACAGTATAATTGTAATATTTTCAATAATTTAGTTATATATGAGTATGCCAGGAAGAAATCACATAGTGTTTTTTTGTCTTGTTGGGATTTGAACATGAGACCTCGTGGTTCTCAATCCATTTCATTGAACACTAGGCCACACATTGGATGCTTAACAACTACCTTGCTTTCTTTTAATTATATGCATTGATAATAATACTCTCACCAGAGTCCATGTATAATAGTTCATAAGTGCAACCAAATTAGACTGAATATCAGACCTGTATACTTGCTAGGTGCTGCTTATGTTCGGCAAGGGTTGCAGCCAAGGACTCTGCATGACCACCAGTACCACCATCATGTGAACTCCTCAAAAGCTCTGGACCCTCTCCATCATTTGCTTTTGCCTGCAAGAATTAGTAGTACCAGAAAGAAAGCATGAAATTAAAATCAAAGACATTCAAATTGTTAAATAAATTCTAAAGTGTAAAAACAGATGTAAACCCTTGTATTCAATTGTGTAACACATTGACATTCTCCTATTAACTACTTCTAAAGTCCAACATAGGAGAAGACATGGTGCTCGGTGACATCGCAAAACCATAGATGTAGAAAGTCCTTGCACCATATTTAGGCCCACCCTAAAAAGGTTTTGCTTCACCTGAACCACTTGAATCCACATAGCAAGAGAACTGTTCCAAACATTTATGTAAACTGCCAGGCGATACTTTAAGCTTGAAATTCATGGAGAGAAAAAAAGAGTTCTGACAAGACGTATAGAATCTTGAGTCAAAGGAATCATCATACCAGTTGAAGGGATTGCTTATGAACACGTTGTAGGGCATGTGTCCAACGCCTCAAAACTTCTGCTATATCAACAGTAGGATGGCCTCTAGCAACTCTCTCATCAACTCGAGAAAATGTGTTATCGTCTACTTGAATATGAGAAGAATCTGAACTCCTTGCATGCTTTTCTCTATCCACGTCTGCTTGTGATCTTACAGCTTGATGTGAAGACGCCAAATGGGGTGGTGGAGCTACAGGGCTTTGATCCATAGCAGTGAGCAAAGCTGAACCAGAGATGCGATACCTAAATGATTTTTTTAAAAAAATAAAATATGAAGGCACGGCCTGGTTTTAAAACCGAAGAGAAAATGGAAAGTGATCATACCTATGCTCACGATGAGCAATAAGATCTTCTATCGGGCCAGAGGCGAGAATTTCATGTTGATCTGTATACATATATATATACATAATACAAGTAAGTGCCAGGTATACAAAACTCTAGTACACTTATTGCAAGATCAGTGAGAGAAGCACTCTGCAAAAGCGTGCTTATAGCATTGTATTATTAGGATATAATTGACAAGTGAGATAGTGATTGAACGCACTCTTGCGAGACAGCAAAGAGTCCCACAAACGAGTAGCTCTTTGAACCATGTGTGAGTTCTGACTTGAGCTTGATACAAGTTCATCCCACAGTTCACCTTCCAGCTTTACTTTATTTCTCACATCCTGCAGCTTTTCCAGTTCTTGCTGCAAATAAGCCTGAGACAAAGAAGATCAAAGATGGATCCTCAGAAACAATTATTTACCGCTGTGGATAAGGGGCTAAGAATCCAACTCCAAGTCCTCAAAGAAAGGTGACAAGATTTTCTTTCACCTCTTCAGCACAAAGGCCTCGAAATTCAGCTGTCAATTCATGAGCCAAATTAGACCACATGGCCTGTCTACGAACTGCTGTTTCTGCATTACTCAAAAACCTCCTTCTTTCAAGAGCAATCCTAGCCTATTCACATAGAAGAGCAATTAGATCCATCCACTAGAAATAATTCTCATGTGAATCGTGATATTGACTACAATACATACGAATTAAAGCTTCGGGACTAGCAAAGAAAACAGACAATGCCTAAGCATAGACTACTGGTAAGCTACTTTGCCAATGTGATACAAGTAATAGCTTCCACATTAGGAAAGAAAATCGAGTCAAAACCTTAGCTACGGGTGATAAAGCTGTTAGATTCAAGGTCACAAGAACCCCCTGATATCAAAAATGTGCCTGTTTAAAAGCCTAGCAGATGGAAGGAATCAGAAGAGACACCTTGGTTACAGGAAGTAGTGTGGCTGCATGTGAGAAAGCTACATCTGTTAATGATGCAGGCAAGGGGTTAGAAACAACATCAGCAGCAAACATTCGCCTATGAACCTCCCTCAAAGCATGCAATGAAAGTTGCCATAGAAGTTCAACAAATCTGCAGCAAACATGTTAAATAAATAATCAATACTAAGTAATATAGTGGCTATAATGTTTACTCTTGACACATGAGCATGCAAACTTCACCTAATAGGGTATGAATCAAACTTACATGAGTGTGTCAACGGAAAACGAAGCAGGTACTATCTACTATTTAGCTTTACCACTCACAAGAGGAATCATTTCCTTCTCCAAAAGTTTTCAGAAATTCAATAATTAGACAAAGGCACCAGAAAATTCATTAACACTCATTCATTAAGACATTTAATTAGGATGGGCTGGAATGAGGGCATTTCAGTGCGACACAGGTGCAAGAACTTGCTCATGACCCTAGTGCAATTCGAACTTCAAAATTTTTATCTACTCCCTTACAGAAGCTATGGTATCTGTAGGACAACTATTTTCAATAATGCAATTACTAACCACTGATCAAATTACTTGCTGAGTTGAATCAACTTGCACTGGACTACCATTTGCAACACATAAAACAGAGAGAAAAGACATAATACCAAGATACGGAAAAATCAAATGAAAGCTCCAAATAATTAAAATGAACCACAACCAAAGCGGTATATGAATTAAACAGCTATCAATGAGCCAACCTTGGTCCACAGCATGTGGCAAGAGATGAGACCCTCGAATTACTTCTAGGCAGTGCCCCTTGAGATTCCAGCTCACTTATAATCCCTTGTACAACCTAAGATTTCCATAAATAAATAAGCAAGCAACCTTTCACTAGAAGAAGACCAACTCTAGACAAATCTATTTTTTTTTTTTAGAATTAGTACTGTCCAATTCTAGACAAATCTATACAGATTGTGTGCGTCCAGTTCAATTATTCAGCGTGAAAAGACCTATCGACTTAGGAACAATCATGTATATAATTACCTTACGAAAATCGCGAGATTGTGCGGAATCAAAAATTGGCCAGACCTTATCGAAATCCTGAAAAGATATTGCAGTGAGCAAACAAAACAAAAACATCCAATGGTAACAGAGGAAGTATAAGACTGAATCACAGGTGAGCTAAGAAGTTCACATTGACAGGTCGAAAAGTAGCAATCACCTTAGCGGATTGAGTAGGACCTCTGAGAGAAGATAATATAAAGTAGAGAAGCTGTTCGCCCAATTTAGGGTTCGAATGACGAAAAAGTCCGACGCGAGGTGTGCCGTTTCCGGCTCCGATTCCGATGATGGATGGATCCAACCCTAGTAACAAACAGTTGGTGTACATTGCACTTTCCAACTCAACCTCTCTCTCCTTCTCTCGGTCCATCGTCATTCCACTCTTTCTTTGGCTATTTCCTCACTCAATTTTGCTTCAACTCTCCGTCTCGTCTGTCTTTCGGATTTCCGATTTGAATGTATAATAATTAAGCAAATTTTCAAACGAGAAGCCCTTATAGATTAGTCAATTTAGCATTAGGGCCTGGTTGTTGGATCACATGTAAGAGTTGAATTTTAAATTTGGGGGTTCTTTTTTGGTGGGGTCGGGTTGGATTAAAAAGGGAGTACTCGCGTTTTTTGCCGATTGAAGAAAATTTTGAAATTCCTGGGAGGGAGGGATGTCTCTAACGTGCGCCGCTGAAATCATCGGCAACTATTCTGCTCTGCCGGCAATGCGATTTTCGTCATCTCAGCTTTGCCCATTTTTGCTTTTGCCTACAAAAATATTTTTTATTCGATATATAATATAGTGAAATTTAATTAAATGTAAATTTTTTTTTTAATGTACAATATCTTTATATCGATTTATTTGTTTTGTATTGATGATACATGTAAATCTTTTAAAAAATATTTTTTGTGTTAGTCACGGGTGAGCTTCAAGGCGTGGTATACCAAATACGCATCGGACTGTAAATTAAGGACATAAATTCATAGTGTGTAAGTCTTAGAATTCGGCGCACAAGCTCAAAGCATAAAAATCATACCAAGAATTGTTTTTTTTTTGCTTGAAATTATTTTTTATTATTATTGTTGTGTTTAAGTCTTAGAATTCGGCGCACAAGCTCAAAGCATAAAAATCATACCCAGAATTGTTTTTTTTTTTGCTTGAAATTATTTTTTATTATTATTGTTGTAATAATATTTCTCAAATAATAGTTCTGAACTTGTAATGTTTTTTTCTTCATTATTGGTTATTAATACCTTTCTCAAATAAAAATTTATAGTTTTTTTTAATATACATATTATATGTTATTAAAACTTATTAGTGAGACAACTGAAAGTTTTACTTCTACTTATATTCTTAGTAATAAAATTATAAAATTGAATATACACAAGATTGTGCATTGCAGATCAAAATGTAGGTCTCACCCAATACAATATAAAACTTTTTATCTCACACCTCCACCTTGTTTTGTTTTATATTTTATATCAGAAATAGTATAAAATTACTCTTTATCCACTTATTGGCTCAAAATACTCTTTTCAGCCACTTATAGATTCTAAAATAGCCTTCTCATCCACATTTGGGTTCAAAATTGACCACTTATTTAAAGATTTTAAATTTAAACTATTTAAATATTTTTTAATACACGACGCTCAACTATGTGTTATAATTAACTTATTAATATAAATTATTAACCAATCTACTACTCACCAATCACTAATTAAACCACATCCAATTAATAAACCCTCTCCATTACTAATGCACAACAAGAAAGCTACTACAAATGAGTGTTTCTAAAAATTTGAGGCGAAAATGTATATAGAAATACATTATCATACATTCAAGTCCTTAATCAAAATTATGATTCGAGTGTCTAAATAAAAATTACGATAAACTTAAAGTCTGACTATGTTCATCTTAATTATTCATTTGCCTCAATTATGTGATCCTACTTAATGGATAACTTTTATTTAAAAAGAATATATTAAATTTTTAATATTTAAAACACTAATAAATATTTATAAAATTATATTTAAAAGTGCATGAATTAATTCGAGAGATGCTACTTCTTTACCTTTAATCATAAATTTTGAAGTCAAGTTCGAAGCAAAATCCTATTGAAAATGTCCTCCTAAACAAGAGGCTCAACCTAAATTTAATTGCTTCAATTCGGACTCAATAATTTTGAATGTCATTTTCAGGAATCGGTAATTTTATCGTACTTTAGTAGTGTTTAGGGTGATTTTGATATTAGAGATAGTTTGTCAATTGGGTGGAACTTAATTAGTAATGGGTAGATAGTGGGTTGATTTATAAATAATATTAATAAATTAAATTATATCCAATAGTTGAACGTCAAGTATTTTAAAAAATATTTAAATAGTTTAAATTTGAAACCATTAAATAAGTGATCAATTTTGAACCTAAAGATGGATAAAAAGGGTATTTTGGAGCCAATAGGTGGATGAAAAAAGTATTTTGAAACCAATTTATGGGTGAAAATGATATTTTGAAGCCAATAAGTGGATGAATGATAATTTTGTATCATTTTCAATACTTCAAAAGTATTTTAGACTCTTTTCCATAAAAAATTTTCAAACACTGACAACAAAGCTTAATTTAGTTGTTCCTTCGCCCCTATTATAGTTTGAGTTAAATTTAGAGAAAAGACATAAAAACACCATTAAAGTTATCTTGTATATAGACACATTAACTTTTAAAGTGTCCTATCACCCCATATAACTATTTTATATCTTTGTAAATGGGTCCTTTTGACCCATTCCCTCGTGTAGGTTGTTATCACGCACATAAGGTGCGTCATGAAGTGTTTTCATTGTCATGAACCAGTTTAAACGTGTCATTTTTTTTTATTATTAATTATTTGATTAATTTTTGTCATCTTCTCCACATTTAATCCCAAAATAGTAGTTGGTAGCCCTAATTTTTCAATTTTTCCATAGAAAAATCAATGTTGATTTGACGACTTCATCATCTTACGTTGTCCTTAATCATTAAATAAAATAGTTGAATGACCATTTGAGTATTGGAATCACTCTATTTTGCAATTAGGATTGTCCCATTCCTTGGATGGAAGAAAAGGGAAACTTTCCATTGATTCTCCATTCCTGTTCAACAAATGTTAAACTCAATTACATTAATCACCATTAATCGAATACAAATTGAGTAATGAATCAATCAGCAAAAACATAGAGATTTTGTTAGTTTTCCAAAAATAATGAATGCAACAGCAGCAAAGGGATCGGCCTGAATCGTAGCAGCAAGTATTGGAGCAATTTGCCAGATGAAATTGCACTTTAAGATCGATTCATCACTACGCCAAATTCAATTTAATTGCTTCTATAAATACCTCAGCTCGGAGATTCTCGACATAGTCTTCTTCGGCGGTCGTCTCCAGCGAGAAGTTGAGGAAAACGGAAGCGACGTTGAGTAAAGTTATAGATCTGAACTGTTGGGGTCCAAGTACTGTTAGATTTTAGTGTTATTTACTTAAATTTGTTATATGATGATCTATTAGTGAAAATAGTAATGGAGATTCAATTTTGAAAAAAAAAATTACAAATTAAAAAAAAAAATCAGTAGCCAATAACAAACTAGTTGAATTCAGGATGAGACTCCAAGCATGCCATTGTTTCCGGTGACAAAACCACCTTCAATCGACACTTCCTCCTCCTCCTTTCCCCAAAAATGCTGATATCTTTCCGTTTAATTTATTCCTCCATCCACTCCGAACACTAACATGTCCGCCCCACCCCAAAAGAGAAGATGACTTTTCTTCAAAGAATAGGGTCGGGTTGGGTTAAATTTTGTCATAGAGAGTGAGCAACACGCACGATTACATAGACTAAGGAATGAGTCAAAACGACCCACTTACAAAGATATTAAATAGTTCTGTGGGGTGATAGGACACTTTGAAAGTTAAAGTGTCTTTATACAAATACTGGACAACTTTGATGGTGTCTTAATATCTTTTTTCTTAAATTTAATTACTACCATCTATGAGTGACATGGCAAAAATAATTATCAACAAATAGCAAGGAAACCTATATGATTTCTCTTTCAATCTTTTGCGATAGAGTAATGTAGAATATGAGTATGTATTAAAGACGAATTTAATTTATTTTAAAATTTTTAAGACGTTTTTTTTAACACTTAAAATCTTGTAATGTATAATAAATCTGTGGTACAATCTTTTCACATATTGAAAAGAACAAAAATAATATATTTATAAAAATTCTCTTTTTCATCGTCCTTATTATTTGTTATGACTATCTTTGTTTGTAATAGTGTTTTCAAGTTTCGAAGCTTATTATACTCAGGTGTTATGAAGGTAATATTTGATAATGTTAGTAATACTTATCATATTTAATTAATTTGTCAATTTGGAAATAATTAAATAATTAGATTTTTTTTCATTTTGATAAATAATATAATCAAATAGTTACTATGAACATTATATTTAATTTGAAAGAACTATGAATGATTGATTAACACGTATAATATTTGCCAATTCAATTAAACAAGCGAACAATTTATTAAGATAAAAAAATGAAAGGAAAATTAAATTTATGATTTACTCTCGAAAATAACGTAGTATCTATTAACTTGATAAGAAAGGTGCAAAACTTAATAAAGTATATAAATGTATATTACACTAAAATGACGTTTATTTCACCTAGTTTATGAAAAGTGTAACTTTCTATTATTAATGAATATATTGAGTTGAAAAATAAAGGTTGTTAATTGTTTTGTAAACTAAGCCAATCCGACAAGAATGAAATTGGGCCGGGCTTATACAATTAAAGCCCATTAGACCATATCCCATATTCGGATTTATTATTTAACCCCGCCCCACCCGGAATCCAGAAGAGAGAATTCTTCTTTGCTTGTGTGGGTAATGATAGTTGATTCTGCACCAGCTACAAAGCGCCAGAGATTCACCGCCGTTGATCCGATGGAGTTGGAATCAGCTAAGGTATTCATTTCAATCTCATCTTTCTTTTCTCCTTTCAAGATACCGGTTCGATTTAACTTCTTGTTTTACCCCTTTTTGTGTGACTATTCAGACCAGTTCGCATGTGTTTCTGTGGTTGATTCATGGTGGGAAAAGCCATCTTGTTTGCTATTTTCTTGGTTTTCTTTATTTAGAATCTTGTAGAAAGAAGTTTGTATAAAGACTACTTCCAGGAAAAATCTCAACACAAGAAAGGCGCTAGTTGTATGTGCCTTTTGTTTACCTACATTCCGTTGTTTTAAAGTTGCTGTTTGTTGTTAATCTTTATACCCATTCCATTTGCTTTGAGTTGCTGTTTCTTGTTGATCTTTAAACCCATTCCATTGTTTTAAGAGTTGCTGTTTCTGGTTAATCTTTAAACCCATTCATTGTTTTAGAGTTGCTGCTTCTTGTTAATCTTCAAGCCCGTTCCATTGTTTTAGGTTTGCTGTGTCTTGTTAATCTTTAAACCCATTGACACACGTTCTTAATTATCTGCTTCTTGTTAATACTTAAACCCATTTATACACAATCCATTGTTTAAGAGTTGCTGCATACCTGCTTCTTGTTAGTATTTAAACCTATTTACATACATTTCGTTGTTTTATGTTTCTGTACATGGGAAATGTTGTTAGAACATCACCTTTCTTCCCATTTTATATGATCACTGATTTATCTCTTTGTGCCCATATAACAAATAAAGTGTATGCCCAACTCTTCAGTTTCTCTAGTATTGTATTGAGCAAATCAAG